TGTGAACCTACCTTCTGGACCTAGTGGATAAAAGTCTTTTGTTCATAAGGGACCCATATTGTTATTCTTTCCATCTCATATTTGAACTCCTTTTGAAATAGCAATGGCCTTATCAATTAAGGGAAAAATTAACTCCCCAGAGATCTCACCACTTAAATCATGGCAACCAACTGTATCCACTAAGCTTATTCTTAGTCTATTTGTCAAGCTTTTCATGTAGATGGTGTTTCAGCCTTTTAGCTCTTACATCAGTGGCATAAACGTTTGGAGCACCCTTTATTTGGTGTTTTAGAGCATATTTTTTCTAGTTTAGTGAAGTAGTGTAATAGACAATCTTATGTTTGTGATGCTTGTTAATTTGCCAAGGATAAACGTTCATTTTATCCTAGTACTAACCATTGAAGCACTGCACCTTTTGTCATTATTCATTCAGATGTGTGGGGTCCTTTTGTTGTGTCTACTTCTAGTTACCGTGAGTTTGTTACATTTATTGATTGTTGTTTGCCATATTGTTGGTTGTCCTTTTTGATCGTGTGCAACTTTTTCAGACCATACTCTTCTTCGAGCACTTTGACAATTCATTGAATCTGCTTAGGTGAGGGTGCCCTCATATGTTTGAAAGCTAGTCGCTAGTTCAAATAGGCATTCTTCAGCCGACAATCATATGTTGAGTAGGATCGTTCATCAACTTGTGAACGGAAAGACTAAAAAAGTTCAAAAATTGTACAAAGAGCGAGCCAAAAACCTGACCTCTCTACCTATTCCCTTAAACAGACAGGCACAACAATTGGTATTGGCTTATTTCCGCACCTGTTCAATTGATTGCTTCAAGGCTTTGCATCTTTCTAATGCTACAAAGTTCTCGTCTTGCTTGGTTTTATCTACTATGCAGGAAAGGTAAAGTTTTCTCATGCTTTAGATCTTTCCATAAAATGGTGAGTGCTCAATGTACGCCAAAGTCAAAATTCTTCGATGTGATAATGGAATCGAGTATATTGATGGGGAATGTTCTTATCTCAATGAAAATGGCATCCGGTATCAAACTACTTGTGTGAGTACTCCTGAGCAAAATGGTGTTGTTGAGCAAAAAAATTGTCATCTTCTTCGGGTTGTTCGTTCATTAATGTTTACTATGAATGTTTCTCAATATTTCTGGAGGGATGCAATTCTTGCTGCTGCTTATCTTATTAATTGTCTACCCTCGAGTCCTTTAGTTTAAGTCTTCTATCGACTGCCTTCTGAGTCTTTTTCTATTCCTTATATTTCTTCCTTTCCCTCTAAAGTTTTTGAGTGTGTTTTGTAGACGATTACAGACCCTTTAGGGAGAAACTTGACCTCAAGGCTCTATGATGTGTTTTTGTTGGTTATTCTGTCACCCAAAAGGGATATAAATGTTATCATCCAAAGTCACAAAAAATGTATGTTAGCGTGGATGTTACCTTTCGTGAATTTGTGTCCTTCTCTACTACCTTGACATCTCTTTTAGGGGAGAATACCACTATAGGGGAATGGATGTTTTGTTAGGAACCTCTTTTTCAATTGTCAGTTAAGTGGAATGTTAGTTAAAGGAACAACAATTTATGGAGAAAAAAGGTGAGGATAGTGATCCACATTGTGTTCACATTCACAAGGAAATTCTTGAAGACTTATTATTGGCGTCAAAAAGTACATATTATCCATGTGCCGCATAAGCAGTTGGATTCTTTAACTCTAGTTTTATCCTTTATTGATTTATCAGGTAATGAACCTCCAAATGTTACTCATGTTATTAATAATCCAGTTGTTGATGACTCTGATATTTCTATTGTAGTCAGAAATGGTGTTGGAGCTTGTGTTCAATAACCTATCTCTAGATGTCTGGTATGATATCCCGTGTCCATCCTATCGTACTTTTGTTTCTTTCTGGTCTTTCATATCTATTACTTAGGGTTGGAAAGAAGCACTTAGTGATTTTAAGTGGAGAGAAGTTATAGCAGAGGAAATAAAAAAGGTGAAAGTAATAAATTAATATTAGGGTTAGAGAAATATGGAGAAAAGAGAAGATAAGGAGAATAAAGAATAGGCAGAGAATAATGAATCAGTTGTGTGTAGGCTATGTTGTCCTACACCATCTTATTTATAATTGAGTAATGTTTTGGGTAATTCCAATATTACTCTACACTAATAGACTTATGACTTAATACATAAAATAACTCTTAACACCCCTCTCAAGTTGGAGCATAAAGATAAAAAATGCCCAGCTTGAAACATAAATTACTAAAGGTCGGTTGAGCCAATGGTATGGTAAAAATGTTAGCCAGTTGATCACTAGATTTAATATATGGAGTGACGATCTCCTTTTTCATTAATAGATCTTTAGATGAAAGAACAATCCACCTCAATGTGTTTGGTATGCTCATAAAATACCGGATTACTAGCAATGAAAATTGTAGCTTGATTATCACTATGTATCTTTATAGATGAAGACACATCAAGTCTCATATCATGAAGCAAAGAACGAAGCCATAACATCTTACAAGCAGGATGGCCCTACACCATAGGCAGAGAATAATGAATTAGTTGTGTGTAGGCAATGTTGTCCTACACCATCTTATTTATAATTGAGTAATGTTTTGGGTAATTCCAATATTACTCTACACTAAAACTTATGATTTAATACATAAAATAACTCCAACACCCTTCTCAAGCTAGAGCATAAAGATAAAAAATGTCCAGCTTGAAACATAAATTACTAAAGGTCGGTTGAGCCAATGGTATGGTAAGAATGTCGCCCAGTTGATCACCAGACTTAATATATGGAGTGACGATCTCCATTTTCATTAATGGATCTCACATGAAAGGACAATCCACCTCAATGTTTTTGGTATGCTCATGAAATACCGGATTACTAACAATGAAAATCGTAGCTTGATTGTCACTATGTATCTTCATAGATAAAGACACATCAAGTCTCATATCATGGAGCAAAGAACGAAGCCATAACATCTTACAAGCAGGATGGACAGCACGATACTCACCCTCGGCACTAGAGCATGCAACCATATGCTGCTACTTATTACGCTAAGTAACAAGATTATTTCAAACAAACATATAGTAGCTAGATGTAGATCGTCTATCACCATGACTACCTGAGCAATCAGCATTAGAAAAACTAACAATAGTTATGGGTGATGATGGATGATATAACAATCCTTTCCCTAGAGCTTCTTTCAAGTGTCGAAGTATGCGGTAGACACCCTCCCAATGAGGTTGATGAGGAGCATATATGAACTGGTTAACCACACCCAAGGATCGAAATATCGTTTTGAATTACTGTTTCGGTCAGCTCAAAAACGGAAACATTTCGGAATCGCAATGAAACGCAGAAAAAATATGAAAACACGTGAAAATATAAATACAATCTATTTATTTATAAAGATAAGCTAAATAATTGATTAATACAATATATTTATTGGGTTAACATCCATTTATACAAGAATAAATTTAAATTGGAGGGAAAAAAAGGGCTTGACATGAGGCAGAAATCACTTAAATTAGTTTCAAACACTTAGTTTTCATCCCGTAAACACATTTTTATATAATGTTAAGATCTCATAATACACATGAAATGCTAATAAGTACATACTTATATAGCTACATCCATCCCTTTGTGAAGTGTCGAGCAGACTCATACATCGGTGTAGTCTTTGGGTAGTTACTTAGAGGAACTCTATATATGGCATAAATATGGTGATAATAATATTAAAATCATTGTGTACACAATTTGTACACACATAAATACTTAATTCTAGATATTTAACAAATAAGTTATAATTAATAAAATGACTTGCAGTTATTTAATATACCAATTTAACAAATGATAATAACATAAAGAATAATTACAAAAAGGAAAAAAAATAATAAAGTATATCAAACTAAATTAATGGTACTTATGTATACTTAAAAGTAAAAAGTTAAAATACAGTGGGGTATTAAATGTAATTGTTCATACTTATAACCAAAAAAAAAATATAAAAGGCAGAAGACTATGCACAATCATGAGTCTCGTGACCCAGGAACAAACACAAACAGAGACAAAGAGAAGATAGAGAGGCAAGAGGCGAATGAGATGCCGGTGCCCCAGAGAGAGGGGGAGAGAGAGAGAGAAGAACATACCCGGTAGCTCGTGGTCGCAGCGATGAAGACGGGACTCCCAACTGCCAAGCCCTAGATCTGCGTGAAAAATGATTGGATCTGCCCAAATTTAGACTCAAGGTGGTAAGTTACTGAAGTCTTCTCCTGTAATTTCTGGCCAATAGTCTATATGTGTCTTTCTTTTTCTCTATCTCCTCGATTTCGTCTGGTGCTTGTCCCTCCCTCTTCTCTCTGTTTTTTTTTTCCTTGGAAGGCCTAGACCTAGACATGCAATTTCTGAGAAAATTTGAGATTTCTATGATCATTATTTTTTATTATTTTTTTTTTTGGCATAGAGGACCTGAGAATTTTGATATTTTACTTGTGAAATCTTAGCATTTTGAGAGTTTCCTTTTTTTTTTCTTTTGGCCTAGAGTGAAGCGAATCTATACACTGTTTCGTCGAAACGGTACTATTTCGACCGAAACGGTCCGACACGGTGACGTTTTGACCGAAACTTTGGAATTTTGAGATTCAACCCATGTTTTGTATCGGTGTGTTGAAATTTTGAAACGTTTCGGACGTTTCAATAAGACATTTCAATCCTTGACCACTCCACATGGTGTTTAACAATTGTAAATTCTTTGTTCCATACTTATTGTTCTAGTGGTAATAAAAATGTACTGCACCTGACTAGTTAGTGTACATATGGATTTTTCTATATCTATCTGTTGCTTGTAATGACTGTTTTATATTTTTCCGTTTCTTTTAATTTCTGATGACAAATGGATAGCTTTTCTTTTCAGCCCTAGTGCTATGAATAAAATGTCCATTTCATGCATTCGATTTCATGCATGTACTTGCTTACCCCATAGGAAATTAGAACAATGTCTGCCATCAACTTTCATTCTATTATTGTCAATGAACTTATTAATTTAGATGTCTTTACATTTTTGTCTCAGCAAAACTATACGGTTTTGAGTGAAGCTGATATTCGGCATTGCCAAGAGGAAAATATTATTAAAGTATCCGCTGTGCTTTCCATTTCTAAGGTTGCTGCTGGCATCCTTCTTCGCCACTATAATTGGTAATTTGTTTTTGCCATATGATTTCCTGTTGTGAAATGTACTTTGTGGTGACTTAGGATAACATGGAATTTTCAAGTTCTAATATTATTTAAATGTGCACGAGTGCATAATATACAATTTGATGCATGTATAATGGTTTTAGTTCATGTACATGACATGTGAAGTCAAATTATACTGTTTATCAGATTCTTAGTCTTGTAATCCTTGCATCTTCCTTTACGTCTTGTTTTTCTTGTATGGAGGTTGTAATGACATTTGGGGGTTAATGTCCTAAATAGTTTTGGCTGACTTTGGACTCACAGGAATGTCAGTAAAGTGAATGATGAATGGTTTTCTGATGAAGAAAAGGTACGAATGGCTGTTGGCTTGCTGGAGAAACCAGTTCCATTTCTCAATGCTAAAGAGGTAAGTGATCCACTAATTTGGGACTCATTAACTCTTTGTGGTTGTTGTGCATGATATTTTGATTCTGACTATACAAGTAGAAATCTAATAAATTACTCTTTATCATCTTTTTATAAACTACTACTCACATGTCTACTCATTTTGCCAGCTGACTTGTGGGATCTGCTTTGAAACTTTTCCTTGTGATAGGATGAATGCTGCTGCTTGTGGTCATCCTTTTTGTGTGACATGCTGGCAAGGTTTGTTCCAGTAGATACAGTACATTTATCCACTCAAAAATTGAGAGTTGGAAAACACGTGATCCTCGCATTTGCTTCAAACATCTGGAATGAAGAACTGTGTCATTAGTTTGTGTTAATAATAGAGTCTCAACCCTTTATTTCCCCTAGATTTGTTGTCATGATATTAAATCTAATTTCTATGTCATTTAATTAATCATGTGACTATGTGAATGCCTTGAAGATGGGGACACTTCCACATCATAAGATGAAGAGTAACTTAACATAAAACAAAATAATGGTAAACCTACATATGTATGTTTTTTTGAAACCTACATATATTGTAAAAATCCTAAATATTAAGCTACTTCAGCTTCTGCTGCATGGGAAGTACTTGACTTCGACAAGAAAGTGTTTGAAAGTCTCTAAAAGAAGCCCTCTTGGTGTCACCTCTTGATGTTGTCTTTGTGGTCTGGATATCGAGGTTCTCCTCATTCGATCTATTTATGTCAGCAGAAGATTTATTGTGAATGTTTGTCACTTCAGATGGATCTCCATGAAACTTGAAAAGATCTACTATCTTGAAGATAGGATGAGTGAGCACATCATTTGGAAGGTCAAGAAGATAAGCATTGGTGTCAGACTTCTTAAGGACTCGAAACGGGTCCAAACTTTCTGCGACTCACCATTGCCATAATATCCAACTGGAAATTTCTTTCGCCAAAATATTTGCTTCCTATGTTGTTGACATCTCCTTCTACTCAGAATTGGTAGCTTTCTGTTTCTCAACTACATCTCGCTGCACATTTTTTACTTGCTTAATAAGCTAATGAACAACTCATAGAGCAATGATAAAAAATATAGGATGAGGTATCCATTGATTATTTCAAAAGACGGTTTTCTTGTGGACACTTGCAAGTTAGGTGTCTAACTAACTAACCCAGTTTGCGATTGATTGTCCATTCGTCTATATGGATGAAAGGCACTACGAAATTGTAAGGTAGTCCAAGCTTACTATATGCTCTCCCACAAAAATGATTGATAAACTAGATGGCCCACCTGGGGTACATCACCTAGGAAGGCTATGCAAATGCACTTATTTTAATGAGCTATATCTTACACATTAACGGCTCTCTGACATGAAAGGAAATGAGCCATCTTAGATAATCTATCCAGGACCAAAGAGACATAATCTAACTTTCTCGGAGACTTGGGCTGCTAAGAGCGAAATCCATGCAAATATCTTCCTAAGCTCCATTAGGTTTAGGCAATATAGTGTACAAATCTGAGATCTATGTAGTTAAAGCCTATTGTGTATTGTTTCTTTGTTGTTTTGATTTTGGGTTGGACAACTTAAACTAGACGATGAATTGATCATTCCTTCTCCCTTTGCCTAAGAAATTGAATGGCTGACTGGGTCAGTCCCTCTTTTTCTTTATTCTTTTTTAATATTCTTTCTCCTTTTTTCAATCTCTCTCTACCTCTCTATCTGATTTTCTATATCTCTTCTCCATTTCTCTTTTCTGCGTTTCTCACTCTCTCTTCCATTTTTTCCCTTCCTTTTCTTGCTTTTATCTTATTGTACTTTCCCCTTTTTCTTCTCTGCCTGTAATCTTCAATCCCCCCTCTCTCTGCGTCTTTCCTCACTTCGATTTCTCTCTCTTTCTTGTCTTTCTCTCCGTCTTTTATTTTGTCATCTCTTTCTTGTCTTTCTCTCTTCTTTCTTTTTCTTCTTCTCAATCTTTTTCTTTTTCATAAACCTCATGCCCATACTTATACTCTCTCCCCCTATTCTTTACTTCTTTCTCTCTTCTAGTTTTTTTTTGTTTAGTTGTGAAACCAGTCCTAATTTACTAAAACCAGCCTCTGTTTTTCATGAGTAAACCTACTTTTTTGTTACAGTTAGCCCATGAAATTACCCTTTGGTTTAAAGATATATGACTCCCTTAAATATGCCATGTTTAGTGAAATTAGGCCACAGTTTTCTTAAATGCGGCTTTTGATTATTTGAAAAATTAGCCTTTGGTTCTAGTTAGTCTAATGAATTGGTTGAACTTAATTACATTCTAATTGCTTTGGTAGGAATATTTTGTGCATTCTTGTTCTCACACCAATGTAACATGATGTGTTGGGCTGATGAAAATTTCAATACAATATACTATTAGTTAGCAGAATTTCGTAAGACTAATTGGAAAATTATCCGTCTTCAACATGCGTCTTACTTCGATGAAGTTCGTGCCTCAAGTTGTGGTTCACCCCTAGGTTCAATGAGACCCTTGCGCCTAGGCTCTAGAAAACTTGGATGCCTTTGTGCCTTAACTAGCATTTTGCCTATCAAGCATGGTTCAAAGTATCGGCCGATACGAATACGAGTTCGTATCCAACTTGGTACCTTCTAAGACGATATCATTACACGATACTTATAAATCTGGAGTCTTGCACGACTCGGCCGAGTCGGTTAAGTTATATCCGAGTTAATTCTGAATTGTCGAGTTATTGTCACCAAATCGATTGATACAATTCTGTGACACCGCGGTATGACCTGAATCTTTCGTCATGTTCAACATTGACCAATGTGTCTCAGAGGTTTGATGACCGATGCCATCACCTTAAACCATGGTTACCATGCAATACCATGGAAGCTTTCAAGCCACAAGAATTTGCGACCAGCTGTAAAGAGATGCATTCAATCACCAATTGAACATATTTTAGAACGGAAGAGAATGAAGAGAATTTGGACAAGAAAAAATAAGGGCATAATCAGAGAAAGAGAGAAAAAAGTGGCAGCACCCAATGTGGTTTTTGTTCCCCAGTTTGCCTCTTATTGCAGAAATTGATTTTATTGATGAAGTAAACTGAAAATGTTGACATTCTATTTTCCCCAAGTTTAGGTGTTACCATTTTATTTAATGCATGTACCTCATTATTTAAACGGTCATGAACTAAATACCTTGAATGAAAAAGTGGACATCCCTTACAAGGTCATAGTATTGGCCATTGACTGGGGGGCCATTGAGGTACATTGATCGCTGCATCACGGGATGGTATGGGCCGATTCACAGGAATTACTAGATAGAATGCCCCAAAAATTCTAAAAAAATGATAAAAAATTCTTAAAAATGTAAACAATAAAATCCATGCATAAGAAATAATGCTCTTTTAAAATTTTAATCAATTTATTTTTACATTTTAAAGGAATTTTCATCATTTTTTAGAATTTGTTGGGTATTCTATCTAGTGTGTCTTGCATATTAGCCAATATTGTTGTTGCGACCAATGTATGAGTTGATGGTTGCAACCTTAAACCATGTATACAGTGCTTAGGGTAGGTTCTCAATGAGCCAAGCTTGTGAACGTGCATATTGCCTCATCTCGATGGCTTTGCCTTCTTTTGCAAACTAGATATCATTTTTTTTTTTTTGAAGTTCCTACGAGAATCTATTTGCTTGGAATGCACATGTTCCCCCACATTCTCATGCCTACTAAGCTCAGAAAATTTTGTTTGGAATTTGGATTTTAACACCGTTGCTATGTTCTTATTCTAAAACCTTGATAATGGTCTGTAGTCAAAACGCTCATTCGAACCAAAGAGACATATTACGGAACAACCATAAAACGAAACAGTGCATTTCAGCTCACATCTTGTACTTCAACACTTTTGGAAGGCGACATCCCATACATGTGTTTGCACGCATTGACTAATCTTGGAGTGGGACTTAGCAAGAAATCTTCAAAGATTGAATATTGGGTGGTTTCGGGTTTTGTTTTTCTGGGATGGAGCTTTAGGATGAAGTGATGAACCATAATGATCCCCGTTCTATAGGTTGGATGGATATATTACTGAAGCGGGCTCCATCTGCTCATGGACACCTGGATTTGTGGAAGTCAAATGTAGTGCCTGTAGTCAGGTCGCAGTAGGTTTTGGAGAAGGAGAGAAATTGAGAGAGCAAGAGTGACAGAGAGAGGTTCCCGAAAATTCATGTACAAATCAGTTTGACTTATCAAATTTTGGTGCCTATTGTGTGGACTCGTGTCATGTTGTATTAGTGGATGATCCAAGCTTCCCCACTGTGGGATCTCCTCCTTGTGGTGGTAACCAGCTATCTGCAACTTTTTAATTTTAGTATGAGGCTGGTTATGTACACCAAGCGTTGACCAATGTGTGCCATATTTTATATCTTTCTATCAGTAAATCTCTGTGGCCAGTTGTCTTTCTTTAAGCATGTATCAAACGACTTTCATCACACCTGGAAACTCCAATTTAAGCAGTCGAAAGATTATACAATAGGGCAGTTGACTATATTGAGCTGCAAGTTTCCAATTTTTGGTTTAACGAACTCCTTTAGACCATGTTCCTCTCTGTAATCAATACATTTGGTTTGATTCCTTTTACTCTATTAGGTGCATGTATTTGCATGTGTTATTGGGTTTTGTACGTGTGACCAACTTTTCCTATCAATCCCATAAGAACACATGTTCTTATATGTCACAGCATTGATTGAAAAATGACCAATTGATGTCAACAGAATCCACATCTGCATATCATTGAGTTTTGTAGGGTTTGCTAATGATTTAAAGAATTCACGACCGCATTATTTGTTTCTTGCTATTCTTAAACTGAAACTCCTGACACTATTACATCAAGATTGTTGCCACTATGTAACCCGATACTGTGTTTAAACACTACAGGCAAAAGTCTATGTTATTTTTCCTGCTGGAATATATACAGAAGGTTTCCACTCTTTTGAACCCATCTTGGTATCGCCGCCTAGTATAGCTTTAGAGCCTAGGATACATGAAAATTCATGAAACGAATCATTGCGATTTTTGTTACTTTGCCCATTTCTATGCTTTTATGGTAGATTCTGGATGATTACATATCTACTCTCCTTAAATATGATCTTACAGCAACTTTTTCTTCTTATGCAGAGCAACATTTAATCAATATGTATTGGTTTGATGGAACTTTAACTGTTTTTCTTTTAGTTCTGAACTTACCATTAGCAAATTTTCTTCTTATTTTTACTGGTTTCAGGATATATTACCACAGCCATCAATGACGGTCCTGGATGTTTGATGTTGCGATGTCCTGATCCATCTTGTGGTGCAGCTGTTGGTCAGGACATGGTCAACGTATTGGCTTCTCATGATGATATGGAGAAGTATAATCGCTACTTTCTTAGGTCATTTATTGAAGACAATAGGAAGGTGAGTTAGTGCATGAAACTTTGAATGATATATAACCTAGGTTTGTCAAAGTCTGACATGACATGAATTAAGCGGGTTTGAATGAGACCTTAACGGGTTTGGGTGATAAACGGGTTAACCTGTCAGACATGTTTAATAAACGGGGGTCGTGTTCGGGTGAAACCTGTCAACCCATTTATCCGTTTAAGTATATAAGCCATCTAATATTGTTAGATTATTAGTTTTATAGCATTTTTAAATAAACAGGTAAATGGGTATATCAGATGGTTTACCATGATTACTCGACCCTACCCAACATGACTCGTTTAAAATGAAATGGGTTAAACGAGTTGTGTTGTGTTACCTATTTATTAAACGGTTTGTGTTCATGTTGAGGTTTTTTACCTATTTATTAAACATGTCCTCTATGAGTTTGCATATTTTTCATCTGTCACCCGTTTAACCTGATACGTAATCGTTTAACTCGACACGATTGACACCCCTATAACTCCTTTCACTGCAAAATAAGTGAAATGTTGAACTAGTCCATGGAGTGGTAGAGGTAGAATTTTCTTTCAGAGGGGTCAACTTAATACTTATTAATAACCCAAAATTATAATGCCATTAGCACTTTCACAAAATATTACATATTCTCTATAAGTACAATTTCATTAAAAGAACATCAACTGAAGGCACAGTGCGTATGCACAAGCAATGTACTAAAAGAGCCAAAATAATAATAATAATAATAATAAGCTGAACAATTTATAGAAGCAATTTGGAAGATTAAATCTATCACAAAGTTATTGAACCGAACTTCAATACAAGAAAAATTTAATTAATTATGAACAAATTATTCAAGTTCCATCAATTGAAATAATTTAATCCAATATATAATCCATATTATGCAAATTCCGGAATACAACAATCCAATTGCACATAATAAATTCACCACCAACTTCAATTTGACATATAAAAATAGCACACATGAGAGGACTGATCGGTTCGAATTGTATCAGATAATGAAAGCTCTATTGTTTTATAGTTAGGAAAAAATATTAAATGGATATTCATAATAGAACCCTTATTACTGTTCCAAAAAGCAAAAATAAATTAAAAAAATATCTAAATCGAAGAAATCTATGGTAACCTCTCAAGCTTTGATAAAATATCAAAAGCTCCCATTTTCCTTAGCGTGGATAAGCAACAATCAGTGTCAAAAATAAAGAGATGGAAGACTGGCTAACAAGGGGGAAAATAGAAGAGATGGGGCGGGTAGAGAAATAGACCAATTTAGGAAGCAACAATACTTTTCGGATTGGTGCCGTGGCAGTGTCGGAAATGGCTAGAGGTGTCTTGAATAGTGAATTCAGTCAGACATGACCAAGACATAGCTAGGACTCATACGGTTAGGATACGACCAAAATTTTGAAAAAAAAAAACGACTGTTGACTATTAAAGGATGTGTGATTTCTATTTTTTAATATATTTTTTGTTATGTAACTTATATATTATGAATGTAATGATGTTTGATGAAAATGGTGAATATTTATTTTAATCTATTTCAATTTTAATCAAGTTTGAACTTTGCCGTATCTCCATATTCGTATCGTATTGGATGCGACAACAGGGTGACCATGTCCATATTGGTGCTTCTTAGGGGACAATTAAGGAGAGGAACTTGTGAGGGAAGATTTTAGAGTGAATACATGAATTGAATCGAAATGACAATGGCGGAACGAAGAGACAGACGAAGAAATGGAATGAATCTGATACACTACATCTAATCTTAGATTTATGAAAGAAACCTGCATGTCTTTTGATATACAAGGCTGCCCCTTAATCTTTTAAGAAAATTTCAATGGGGGGCAATTATTGATTATATTTTTAAAATTTCACCTACGTCCCAATTTTTTTTGAGATTGCAGTGGGGGCAGTTACCCCACTTTTAATCTGCTAAAGTCCATGTAATTTCTTTTTTAGGTATGAAATCTGTTCTACAAACTGAATGGTGGGATTTTTTGTTTATTGTGCGGGAGTATACAACCAAACATGTTCTTTTCGTCAACTACAGCTTGTGTTATTGTTTCATTGAAAGAAAGTACCATCTTGAATATACTGTGCGCGGAAATCACTCATGTCTGTTTAATCATTCCAACTTGGTTTTATTAGAGAATTACCCTTGTTTCCTTTGCAAATTGCACATGAAGTTTATAAAGAGTAGAGTCAGCAAGGAATATATGATTGGAGGACGCTTTTTCTCTTCTAATTTTCGAAACGATCTGGTGGATCTGGTTGAGCCTAAAAGACCATGCCTCGGTTGGCCAACTTGTCTTCTTTCTTGTGTTTCCAGAGCTGGTTTCTTTTGACCCTTGCAATCCCAATATGTGAGAATTAGGTTTAAGGATTAGGTTTTAGATTCTATACGATTTATGATTGATTTATGCTTAAATTTTGTTATGAGTTACCAAATTCCACATGTTTATACTTAACACAACTGGTCCAAGGAGGATTGCATTTGGTAGCTTACAACCAATTTTAAACTTGTCAGATCCCCTTTGAACATAGGTTGTGAGTTGAGTTGGACTAAGCTTAATTTTACGATGTTGTTTTGGGTTTATAGAATGGTCATCACTACTGCAAGATCGTGGTCTTCATTGTCATCATCATGATCATTGTTTTTCACCTTCCATTCAAAATGGCTGTTTTTTAGTAATTTTTGTTGTATCCTTTTCTATGTCGTATAATAAATCTTTTACTGGGTTTCCTTCAGACAAAATGGTGTCCTGCTCCAGGCTGTGATTATGCTGTGGATTTTATTTTTGGTAGTGGAAGCTATGATGTTACTTGCTGCTGCTCATACAGTTTTTGCTGGAATGTGAGTTTCATCAGTTTGTCTTCAAGTTTCTTCAATGTTTTCTCTTCCGGGTTTTCGTCCCAGTTAAATATGTGCTATTGTTGACGATGTGAATTTTTACTTTCCAGTGCACTGAGGAAGCTCACCGCCCAGTTGATTGCGGAACTGTGGCCAAGTGGATTTTGAAGAATAGTGCCGAGTCTGAAAATATGAATTGGTATTGTACTGGATCTTAGGATCTTGTGTTGTTAATTCCCTTCTCATTTTACTATTTAACTGGTTGTCTAGAAAAACTTATACACGGAAAGGCATTTTAAAAATGAGACTAAATGGAACCAGCCTTGGGGCGAAGAGACGTTGGACCAAAATGAGCTTTGTATTGGACGAAGATGACATTAGTTATACTTTATATTCATTCAATTGAGAGTTTTGGAACTTTAGACTGTTTCTGAATGGTGAGATATGGACTAAGACAATGAAAATTGTTCATATGCCCAGATTAAAGAAAAGAAAAGATTTTGAGATATGTACTAACCAAGTTTAGAGTTCAGTTCCAACTTGAAATAGCCAGCTCATGTCAAAACGAACACATAATATATTTAAGTTCTTACTTGTAAAGAGTGTATTTGCAATTTTTTCATACAGTTTTATTTAAGCTTAAATTTTCCTTTGTGAGCTCTTAAACACTTTATAGTATTAAGTTTAAGTCATAGATAATTGGAAGAAGGATATGAGAAAAGGCGGAGAAGTAGAGAACACACTTTACCTACCACTCTCAACTTATATTTATAGTTATCCTACCTATCACTCTCAACACTCCCCCTTATGTTAGAGTATATATATCATAAAATCTAAGTTCGGAACAAATGACTATAAAACGAGTATGATTTAGTGCTTCGGTGAACCTATCTGTAAGGTGATCCTCAAATTTTACGAATGATGTGACAATATCTCCATTTAGTATCTTGACTAAAGTAACAATCAATTTTAATATGTTTGGTCATCTCGTGAAATACATGAGTATAAGGATCAAAATTTTATTTTGGTGCATTGTTTCGATTACCTAGAAAATGAAAACGTTTTAACATGGTTCGAAAACGTTTCAACCAGTTTCGAAAACAGAATGAAAAAGAATAAAAAATTTAAGAATTATTTTTTTAAAATATTGGTCGAAATATACCAAAATATTTTGAAATACCTTGAAACATTCTGAAATAATTGTGTAAATATATTGAAATATAACAAAACATTTCGAAATATTATAGAATACCTTGAAGTATTAGAATTTCGATTTCATCACCGATTCGTTTCGGTCTCCTTGGAAACGGAAATGTTTTGGATGTTTCAAAACGATATTTTGATCCTTGCATGAGTAGCAGCATTGCAAATAGTTGCCTGATTATCACAGAGAATTGTAGGGAAGTTGGATTGGAAAATCAATTTCCTGAAGAAAATGTAGTAATCACGGAAGCTCACTAGTGATATGTGCTATTGCTCTATACTTAGCCTTAACACTAGACCATGCTACCACTCCATGTTTCTTTTTTTCCCATATAACCACGTTACCTCTTTTAAGATAACACAATATCTAGGGAGAACAGCATAATCAGTGTCTGTAAAACCTTTTGCTCTAAGATGTCTATTGTCTAGATACAACAACTCAAGTCTAGGAACACGTTTAAGTTATTGAAGAATGCAAATGATTGCATCCCAATGTGATACTTTAGGGAATTCCATAAACTGGCTCACAATGCTAATTGCATATGCAATATTTGGTTGGGTAATAATGAGATAATTCAGGTTCTCAACTAATTTGCGATATTGATCGGGATTTTCAAATAGTACACCATCATCTATCAACAACTTCTAATTTGGATCCATAGGAACATTGATTGGTCTACCATTTAGCAAACTTGCTTCTTCTAGCATGTCAAGTACATATTCTTTATGGCAAACAAATGGCCTACTTAGATTTTGCAATTTCAATGACTAAGAAGTACCTTAGTTTGCCTAGGCCTTTAGTATGAAATTGATCTTGCAAAAAGAGTTTCAACTTTGCAATACCCTCAACATATTCACTACTAATTATAATATCATTCACGTAAACAACCAGTAGAATGTACGGTGCATCAGTATGTCTATGGAAAATAGAATGTTTGTTTGACATCTAAGAAGACCAAGCTCTAAAATTGTCTCTAAAAACTTATCAAACCATATCCTTGGTGACCATTTTAAACTGTACACAAGGATCAAATTTTCGTTTTGAAATAGTCGAAACGTTCAAAACGTTTTCGTTTCTAAGGAGACCGAAACTAATTAGTGATGGAATCGAATTTTTAATATTTTGAAGTATTCTATAATGTTTCAAGATGTTTTGTAATATTTCAATGCATTTGAACAATTGTTTTGGAATGTTTCAAGGTATTTCAAAATACTTTAATATATTTTGACCAATATTTTAGAAAAATAATTTTTAAATTCCTTATTTTTTTATTATGATTTCGAAATGGATCGAAAAGTTTCTTAAACACGTCGAAACATTTGTTTCCTAGATGATCGATACAATACATCGAAACAAAATTTTGATTCTTTATCGTACAGTGATTTTTTTAGCCAATAAACACTCTTACGATACTCCCCCTGAGTAGTAAATCGAGGTGGCTACTCAATGTAGACTTTCTCAATCAAGTCATTGTATAAGAAAGTATTTTTTACATCTAACTGAAATAAAGACCAATCAAGATTAGCAGTCAAAGAAATCAACACACGAACAAAAGAAATTTTTTTCAACAGGAGAAAAGGTCTCCTCATAATCAATGTCATATGTTTGAGTAAAATTCTTGGCAACAAGTCGGGTTTTGAGGTGTTCAACCAAGCCATTAGGATTTAATTTGACTGTGTACCCTCATCGACAACCAACATCTTTGAGTTGTTCAATTGAGCCATCAAGATTTAATTTTACTGTATACCCTCATCGGCAACCAATTGTCTTTTTACCAAGGGTTAATGGAATAAGATCTCAAGTTTCGTTATGATGTAAGCAATCCGTCTCCATCTTCATCTCCATAGCTTTCCTCTAGCGTGGATAAGATAACGCTCCCGGTTAGATCTTAGGAATAGAGATATAGAGAGCTGAAGTATAAAACAATAAAAAAGAGACAAGACATTATAAGAAACAAAATTAGTAATAGAATGGTTAGTAACACAAGATTGAATACCTTTACAAAGGGCAATCGGTAAAGAGTCAGAAGTAACAAGGGGACTAGGATTAGAAGGCATTAAAGAAGACGATAGGGACACCTCACTAGATGACCTTGGACAATGAGAATATACATGGAGTGGAACAGAAGAGAATGGTGGTAGTAAAGCCGGAGGTGGGACAATAAGAGGTGGAATGATATATGGCAATGGAGGAAGTGAGGCTGAAAAGGACTTTTCAAGGTCAGATTAATAGAAGGGGCAATGACTTTGAAATATGGAACAAACATTAGTGAAGTATTTCCGAAATGTGGGACCATAGTAACGATACCCCTTTTGTGTGCAAAAATAACAAAAAAAGACACATTTTTGTAGCATGAGAGACGAGTTTATCAAATCCAGGATCCCAGTTGTGAACATAGCAAACTGTTGAAGTAGAAATATTTAAGTTATACCCTCTTCAACAACTTAAGCTTTTGGAGTAGATAACTATTTAATATAGTATCAGAGTAGGAGGATCATGTGTTCGAATCTCACTGTCATCCTAATTGTTAAAAAGATTTTCATGTGCTAGGCCTAAAATCTAGTTTGCACGTCAAAGGGTGTGTTGAAGTATAAATACATATATTATATCCTCTCTAATAATTTAAATTTTTGGAGTAGATGATTTTTTAACGCAAACACATCCAAAGACCTTAGGAGGTAAGGAAAATAATGGAGAATTAGGGAGAAGAACTGAATATGGACTATATCGATTTAACACAGAAGATGACATGTGATTAATAAGATGACAAGTAGTAAGAAGAATATCACTCCACAAACACACCCAAAGACCTTAGGAGGTAAGGAAAATAATGGAGAATTAGAAAGAAGAACTAAATATGGACTATATCGATTTAACACAGAAGATGACATGTGATTAATAAGATGACAAGTAGTAAGAAAAATATCACTCCACAAACATCGAGGAACATACATATGAAATAAAAGGGCACAAGTCACTTCTAATAAGTGACGATTCTTACTTCGGCCCCACCATTTTGTTGGGGGTGTGGACATGAAGTTTGATGGCAATGCCAGTCTTATAAAGATGAGTAGAAAATGGGTCAAGAGTCATATTCGCAAGCATTATCATATCGTAAAATGCGAACAAGACAACCATATTGAATTTTCATTTCTTTACGGAAAGTCTCAAATATAAAAAGCAATTTAGAATGAGCTTTCATAAGATATAACCAAGTTACACAAGATTAATTATCTACAAATATTACAAAATAAGAAAATTTATTTGATGAAATATTTTTTACTGAACCCATACAGCAGAATGGAATAATTGAAATGAACTAGACACACGATTAATGACTGGAGACTGAAAGAACACACAGTGATGCTTACTAAGTCGACAAGTTTCACAAGATGTGGACGACACATGATTAAGACTAAGAACTTGATGTTTTAAATTCTAGAGAGATGGGTGACCAAGGCGATTATGCCACTAAAATGGAGATGATGATGAAATCTGAAGTGTGCGAGGAGATGGATCATGGTCAAAGTAATAGAGACCACCATCTCCATGTCCTGTACCAATCTTTGTTTTTGTCTGAAAATCTTAATCTTAAAATACACAATAAGAGGGATAAAAGGTTACTGAGCAGTTAAGTGAATAAGTAATCTTGTTAATATAAAGTAAACTAAAAGGAAATTGAGGGACAAATAAAATAAATGATAAGGCCAAACTGAGATTCAATTGAGTATTCTCAAAACTTGAAACCTTAGAGAAAGTACCATTAGAGAGAATGACACTGAGTGGAAGCAACAAAATGGCAATTAGAAAACACACTAGACGAACTAGTCATTTGAACAGATACGCTAGAGTCTATGATTCTGGGACTACACGCGGAGGATAGTAAACAAGTGGAGCAATACTTGATTAGGCAAAAGTAGCAGTGGAGGAAGATGGTATTGCCTGTTGTTTGGACACAAACTGAGAATGCTCCTCGCGTGTAATAGTAACTAACTCAGAGTCTGAAATAGTTGA